GGCCTCCTGGTTCTTGAGAGTCAGATCTCTATTCACAGGTCTGTGATATCCTTCCTTTCTACATTCTGTTGTTGTTCTTCACTGCTGTTTGAGTGTGAACCAACTCTAGCTGGCCTTCCAGTAAGGAAATTGCCCATCATTCTCCTGCGACCAGCTGGTAGATCAAAATCACATGCCTTTTGGGTTGGATGTGCAAATCCCTACCTACTAGACCACCAGAGCTTCCCGTGTTCCATATAGGTTGATGGTAAATAGTTGTATTTTAATCTACCTGCCAGAGGCGGCTGTGTATTTTCACAATAAATTTTTCAATGAAGGTTCCAGCTTGGTTGATTGGGGAAATCTGGTGATATAGTTCTGAAAATCTGCCAGTGAAAACTGGCAGGTTACCAAAGTAGAATGTCCTGGGTGTGTGGAGTGTCATGAGTTGGATGCAGGCTTTCAGAGGCCCTAATTCTAGCTGTCACAAGACTTCAGGTTAATTGCCCTTAATCACTTGCTACCTCCCGGTGGCCTAGAAGTAAGAGTTGCATTGCGACCTCCAAGGCAAGCAGTTAGAATCCAACAGCTGCTCCAGGGGAGAAGGGCAATTTCCTTTTCGATTTACAGTTCTGAAAACCTGCCAGAGGTTCAGTTCCTTCTGACTTGACGAGTTAGCTACAACTTGATGAGTTAGTTATGACTTGACGGTGCATAACAAACTCCTGTTCAGTTTAAACATGGGTAATCTTCACTTCTTGAACAAGAGTGAGCACCCTCATCTCTCACTGAGAGTCAGGAATCACAGCCGCTCTTCTGCCCACTCTCCAAGGTTTCTCTCACATGCTCAGAAGGATCGACTATTGTGGTTGTGTAGCCCTTATTTAAACTGTGAACGTTCTTATGTATAAAAGTCAGTAATCTGTTCACCCCACGGGAGACTGAACACTTGAGTTTTTGCATTCACAGTGGAAAAAAATGCGAGGCGGATGTGGGAGGAGATCTGCGTTTCTCCACTTAACTCCCTCCTCTACAGCTGCGGCGGACTCTGCTTTTGAAAGCGTACCCCGGGCTATGCCTGCAGAACATGGGATGGGATGTCAGAGCGGAGTGCAAGGACCGAAGAGGGAATTTCAGAAATGCAGTTGCAGGGGGAGAGAAGGAGCCTCTTTTCTACCACTTTCTCACCAATTCTGGCAACGAGTCACTGCCCTCGGATCGGCCAGTCGTAACGCCTACACTCCTCCGTCCCCAAAGGGAACAAGCAGAGGGTAAATAGTGAACACAGCAGCACCTAGATCGGTCATGCCGAAGCGGAACCTTCAGGTGGCAAACCACCACGGCGCAAGCCCTGGGCCTGACCGCCGTCCCCGGCCACTCAAGCTGCAGCACCGGCTCATGTGTGTAGTCCCTGCAGCGCCTTCAACGCCCCCTGCCTCCCCACTCCTATGAGTGCGCACGCCCCCCGGCCCGGCCCGCGTGGAGGCCCAGAGCAGGCGGGCTCGCCGCGCGGACAAAGCCCCTGTCCTGGGCCCTGAGACCAGAAGCGCGCGCGCGGCGCAGAGCGGGGCGGGGCGCGCGGACCGCGGGCCCCGGCCCGAGGGTGTCGGATGTCACCCCCCGCGCACACCTCGGCTGGGGGGCGGGGGAACGAACCACTGAGATGAGAAGACCTCCCCAGTCCTAGAGCGGAGCAGGAAGTGTCCCAGGGGAGGGAGCCGGAGGGCTCTGGCCTTTCCTTTCCTCCGCGTTCTGAGGGCTCCGGCGACGGCCAGGCCTGCCGCGACTCTTGGACGGGGACGCGCCGCGGTGAGTGCGGCCGCGCGGGCCAGAGCCAGTTCCCCTAGTTCCCGCACCCGCGCCGCCCAGGCGCGCCCCATCTCTGCGCGCCCAGGCCTCCGCCAGCGCCACCCCTCACCCCGGAGAGCAGGGTTCGGGGTTCGCGGACCCGGCCAGAAACCAGTCTAATTTTGTTTCGCTGGCGCCTCGGCTTCCTCCCCGTCCCTTGCTCTCCCAGACGGAGCGTGGCTTTCTGGATGAGCAGGAGAGGGGCTTGTGACCTGCCAGGGAAGGAGTCGGATCCTTGCAGAGAGTCAAGCCAGAAGGAGGACACCTGGGAGATCGGTCTAGAAGGATGAGGAGCTGCCACCGCGGACTTCCGCCGCAGCAGGAGGGATTTGAGTTAGAAGCTGGGAAGGAGTTTCAGGCTGCGAGGTGAGGCGCCTGGAACGGTTTTCCTGGGCAGCGTGTAATAACTGTGTGCATGTGTGTCTGTGTGTGTGTCTGTGTTCGCGCGCGTGCGCGCGCGTGTGTGTGTGTGTGTGTGTGTGTGCGCGTGTGTGCGCGCGCGCGCAAAAGAACCAGTGGAAGAGAACATATGAGTGAGAGAATGGAAGGAAAAGCTTCCTCCTTCCCTTGGTCTAAAATGCCCTTCTCTTCCTTTCTACTGAAGCACGTCTGTCCCTCCTCCTAGATCGGCTTTAAAGACGCCCAGGGCAAGACCCCTCCCCCATTCACCTTAGTTCATTGAATCTCCTACATGCCAGGTGCAGGACGACAAAGAGGTACAAGCTGCCTGGTTAAGCAGAAGGTCCTCAGAGTGCTTAATGGGCACCCCCACACTGCGGGAACTGGGGTGCTGAGGGTGGGCCCTGGGTGCCTCCAGAGAAAAGGCAGATCTGAGTAGTTAAGGGGAGACATGGGAAAGAGGAGGTGCTTTTGGTAGGTAGGTGGGGAGAACCGGGAAGCAGGGGCAACAGAACACTGGGCTCCAGACTCTGGAGGGAATCCAGTATTAGGGGAGTTAATGAATTCATTCAGAGACCCACCAGGTTCTCTTATGCTTTGTAAGTTGAAAATCAAGAGGATCCAGAGTCTTGGGTTTCCTAACTACTACTACTACTATTACTCAGTTGCTTTGTCACTCTTCTAGGCTCATTTGTCTTCTTGTGAAAGAGATTGAGGTCTTTTAAATCCTCCACCATGAGACTAGGGAAAGGCACTGTGTGAGAGCCTAGTTCCTGTGTGTACATCTCATGCAGGTGAGGGTATTAAAGGTGAATGACTAGGCTGGTGGACAGGATCTAGATGTAGTTCCATTTGTCCTTGACTTTCCTTACACTTCCACTCTAGAGGACCATAGTCCTTGGTGTGTAGCTGCCTACAGTGATCTGTGAATCATCTCTTGAACGAGGAGGCTGTTCCTCTCGTGCCCTGCACCTATATGTAGTCAGAGTCAGTGTCTGTTGCAAGTAACAGCGTCTGTTGACACCTTGAATGGGCTTATTGAGTTTGTGTATGCAACAGCCTCCCATATGTTGTCAGAAGTATAGGGACACCTGTCTGTCTCCCACTGTGTTGATACGGATTTGATTCATGCTGGGCTGAAAGCTGGTATTTGAACAGTGCCAGGACTACCTTGTTCCTCTGTTCTGACTAAGCAATGCCTGGAGGGTTACACAGTTGCCTTCATTCAGCATGGTTTGAAGAGGAAGATAGAGGAGTGAAGGCAAAGTTGAAGGTCAGAGCTCCTTTCATATATGATTTATGAGCAGGCTGGTCTGAAAGTAATGATGCTTTAAAATACAGCAGCATTTCTCTCTGTAGCTGCAAGCTCTGTGACTCTTGTAATTTCTTATCTGGGTGTCTTAGCTGCCTGTTTCATCCCCTGTGTTCCAGTGCAAGCTCCACTGGTAGGGCTGATTCTGCCTTTGATGTGTGTGCCCAGCCCAGAAGATGGTCACCTGGCCTTCAGTTGTCAGCAGGGTGGAATTTTCTGAACCTCAATGTGTTTTATTTATTGTTTTACAGAAGCAAGACAACATTTTCATACATAAAGTAGTTTGTAACATTGCTGGTGGTGTTATAGCCTTGGTAGGAAGATTCTGTTTTGTTATATTTTGTATAATTTCTGGTTAGCCTACAGGTAGATACCCAGGGCTGAGCCTGGGGATTGGATACCACTGAGTAAGACTGGAAGAAAGAGACAGTCTATCTCCCAGTGAGCCCCTGGAGGAGACACTCTCTGGTTCTCATTCTAGGAAGGGAAGGCACTGACTGAAGGCATCTTCCACAGTGGACTTGATTATTCATGCTGGAATGACACTAAAAATAACACTTTCTTAAGCTGTTGAATTCATCCTTCTAGGGGAAAAAAAAATAGAAAACTCTGTGCTTCCACATGGAATATAAGTCTGAGGATAATTTAAAAATTCATTTGCTCTCTGTGTTAAATATAAGCCACGTCTCATTGCATAGTCTTTCAGGTGTTGAAATTCCTCAGGTGTAGGGGTAACCAATGGCATTAGAATCCTGCTTTTGCCTTGAAGTGGGTGTTGACTTAGAAGAAACCAGAACCATCCTCAGCTTCTAAAGGTGGGCTTGACTGATGTAGTAATCCCTTTCCGCTTGCCATTGAGGTGTTCAAAAATGAGCAGGACCTCTGAACTATTGTACTGTGTTGCTTGGTGTATTTTAAAACTTCCCTTGCTTGTCTTCCTCTGTCATTCCAGCTCGGCTTGTAAAGGTCTTCAGACCAAGGACTGTGACTTCTGCTCTAAAGCCTCAAGATAGCGATCTGCTAGTCAGACACATCCATCTTGGGTCCTCTCCAAGAGAACTACTACTGGGCTACTGAAGGTACCAGAGAGCCTTATTTAACATCTCTCTCCTGCATGCAGCCTCATATAAGGTCAGGGTACCATAGAAATGCCATCCATATTCTCTTGGACTCTGTGCTTCATTGCTCTGGTCATCTAGCCAGGGGAATGCAACCAAAGTGATACCAAGATGGCCCTTGCGTTAGTAGGATTCTTTCGGTCCTTGTGTATAAGAACCAGTCACTTTGATACCCCTTAGCTAGGGAACCGCATGGCTTCTCCAAAGGGCCAGAATCGATAGGCTTTGTCAGTTTCCCCATCAGCACCCCCAAAAACTAATGCAGGAGATCAGAACATTGAAGCCAGCAATTTCTGTTTGGAAATAGGGTCGTCTTCTGCTGCTGACCCCCATCAAATCCCATCATGCCCACAGCCCTGTGCCCCCGAGTCTTGGCTCCGAAGGAAAGTGAGGAGCCCAGGAAAATGAGGAGCCCACCTGGAGAGAAACCTAGCTCCCAAGGAGAACTCCCCAGTCCAGAGTCCTCCCGACGCCTCTTTCGCCGCTTCCGCTGCCAGGAGGCAGCAGGTCCCCGGGAGGCCCTTCACCGCCTCTGGGACTTGTGCAGGGGCTGGCTGCGACCTGAGAGACACACCAAGGAGCAGATCTTGGATCTGCTTGTGCTGGAGCAGTTCCTGGCCATTCTGCCCCGGGAAATCCAGAGTTGGGTGCGGGCCCAGGAGCCCGAGAATGGCGAGCAGGCTGTAGCTGCGGTGGAGACACTGGAACGGGAGCCAGGGAGACCTTGGCAGTGGGTGAGCAGAGGGAGCTGGCTGGGATGGGAGGTGGGGCAGGGAGCAGACTTGTTGACGGGTTGTAGAATTCTGTCTACAAGCAGTATGTACCTTTGTTATACCCAGACAAGATACTGGTTTCATAAGAAAACAAGTTTCTTTCTCTAAAGGCACTAACATGGCATCCATTTATCTTCTCTCTCTTTCTAGCCCTGTGCATGGCTTGAGCTAAGCTGCTGGTCATTAGCTATGGGGTTGATGATCTGCAGGCCTAAGGGAGGGAGGAAGTTGCCCCAGCTCTTACAGGGAATGCTAGGATCTTTCTATCTGAAATGGCCTGTCTGGATTGTAGCTGAAGCACTGTGAAGATCCTGTGGTGATCGACGATGGAGATGGCCATCCAGACCAGGAGCAGGATCAACTGCCCACCGACCCCCAGGGTGATCTTGCAAAGAGCCAGGATACCCAGCCCATAGTCCTGACAGAAGGCACTGGACTCTTGAGCCGACCCTCAGGGCAGCTCAATGGGGACTCAGGTACATAGGCCATGGGAATGTGGTAAAGAGTGGGCTGGGAGGTGAAATGTCCTCTCAGCGGACTCCTGAGAGGAGCAGTCATATTCTAAATGATGTCATGGGGTACTTGAGAGGAGCAGTAATATTCTGAATGATGTCATGGGATAGTTGTTTGGATCTTTCATTCTCTTTAGTCCTGAGGAGTTTGAATCATCAATGCCTGGATGCCATCCTGGAGCAAGCAAATCAGAAATAGGGTGTGTTGACTGTGGAGGGTCCTCCAGGAAAGAACTTTAATGTAAATGGGCATTGCTGGAGATGAACCAACCATGCCTCTGTGTGCACTGTTTGTTCAAGAGAATCCCAAATGTGGACATATGGCTAAGGACATACTTCCTTGTCTTTCAGAATCCCATTCTCCCCAGCTCTATAATCCCTGTTCAAGGTATCATCGAGATGACAAAAATAAACAGATATAAGATAGCCTTTGGTAGTCTTAGAGATGCTATGGTAGTTGTTCCAGGGAGAGGCATGAGAAAAGCACCCACTTCAGTATGGCTTGGAGATCTATGCAAATTGTATGCAAATACTTTTGTCACCAATTAGCCTTGGCTTTGTGTCTGTAAGGCACAACCTGAGCTGGTTTCTGAACTTTCTAAGTTTCATTTCCTTTATCTATCAAATGGAAAGAATAATCACCCTTATTGAGAACTTTTGAAGATTAAATGAGTTAAAGAAGTGAAATTTTATCACAGTGTCCTAACTGTACGTGCTTATTTCTTTCCATATATACTTTTTAAATTTGATGTCATTGTCTTAAGAAGTTGGGCATCTTTCAGGTCAAAGGAAGACTGTGACATGGGATGAGCTTGGATGGACTTCTGCGTTGCACTGCAGCTTTAGATTAGGAAAGAGAGTGTGAGAGTCATGAGTGCATTCTTGTGACTTAGAAAACTTTGTGAAGTGTTAGTAAATATTTCACTAAAAAAGTATTTTACTAAGTTTCTGTTTGTGTGAAACTGTACTAATCTCTACGAATCAGATAGACTCTTTAGCTTTTCATTCATTAGAAGTTAGGTTAGGCAGAAGGGAAACAAATCCTTGTCCAAGTGAGCAAAGCATCAATAGGAAGCTAGTGGACCAGCCTGTGTTGGTTTTTTTTTTTAAAAAAGTTAGACTGTGAGGTGCCCTGTGGTGGGGCTGGAGGAGTGACAGCATTTCCAGCAACCACAGTAGTCTACTTATGTAGCTTCTTATTGGCGATATCCTAAGATAAGCCACCATCCTGGATAGATTGAGGGGCAGAAGCATAAGATATTCCATTTCTGTGAGCAATAATAAACAAAACAGAATTCACAAGAGTCAGATAAAAGAAAGAACTTAAACATTACGATGGCTAATTTATTGGGATGAGTCAATTGCAGCAAGTCAAGAAGAGTTGTAGAGTTTCTAATCTTGACAGTCTTTCCGCAAAACTACCAAATAGGCAATATTTTTTAATCATTTCATTTATGGGCTGCAAACTTTCCAAAGTGATCTTCCACGTGTTCCTTTATTTATCATGCAAAGGTAGGGTGAGACCATAATTCATCCCCTAGAAGATGGTGAGCTATCAGACGCACTCCCCTCCCCAGCCTGAGTTTCCAGCAGCAGAGAGAAGAGGTTTCCACCCACGGCCTCACTAGACACTTCAGTAGCAGCTGCATCAGCTTCTGAGCCAAGCCTTTTGCTCCAAATAGCTACTCCTGCACCTGTTAATTCCTAAAGGCTTTGCGCCTGGTAGAGAAAGGTCAGGGACACTCTCTCCCATTTTGGCCTTGATTTAACATGTGACCTTGGAATTTTCTCTAAACTGAGATTATAGCACTTTCCCCCACTTTTTATTTTGTGAAAGGGATAAATTTGAAATGTATAGTTTATTATATCGCTACACTTTTGGCCAGGTACTTCACTGCTTGCTTACTGTCTAAGCTTATGTCATTGCCACACAGGGGAGAGAAGTCATAATGGAACAGGGCAGAGGCCCTGCCAGCCCTTGATAGTATATTTGGAAGCTAAAAATAATGATGAGATCGTGTCAGAGCCACCTGGTGTACAGTTTTGTGTAACAGTAGTTAGGATGCTGAGCTAAGTGATCTTGTAGAAGCACCTAATAGTAATAATGGTCTTTTTAAATGGAACTTTGCGACTGACATCCCACAGTAACTTACTGGCATTATAGGGGTTTGGGTTTCATAACCTTCATATGGCACATAATTAGACAGTTCCTTGGATCTGCAGTCACAAGGTAATTAATGGCAAAGCCAATTTGACGTGCACATTTTCTTTATAAGTATCACTACATGGGGTACACAATTAAGTGCTTGACTACAAACTGCAGGGCAGGCAGTTGGAACACATCCAGGGTGTGACACTTCAGAGGACAGACCTTGGAACCTGCTACTGAGCTCCTGAAAGCCCTGAGGAGGGGTTCTGCTCTGTCCACATTGGCTAGGCCAAAGTTGGAATTGATTAGCAATTAACTATAGCAGCTTCCCTTTAAAGGGCAACATTGTTTTGTTTTAGGGTTGTGAATTGTTACTCATATACATTACTTTGTGATACTCATTTTACAGATGAGAAAATACCTAGTACTTTATGAAAAATTCTGTGAAAGAGCCCCTTGGCTCTTGTGATTTTCCTCACGGAACAAAACTGAAATGTGGAGGAACCCTGAGGAGCTAGAGAGATGGAAGATGACCTAGCCCCTTTGGAACATCCTTTTCTCATGTCTTTCAGATTCACAAGATCCTTCCATTCTTCAGGAAGAGGATTTGAGAGACATACAGCAGGTGACTGCCTTCCAGCTGCCTCCGGTGAGTGCATTCCTCAAGAGCCCTTGAAAGGTCCCTCTTTTTCTGATCCCTGTACCCATCTCCATAGCAGATTGCTGTTATACAGACTCTCCAATCCCAGCCAAGAAAAATGGAAAGACCTGAACTTGTAAGATAGCCCCATCCCTCCTCCTAATTGCCTAATCTAAATTTGTCACTGCAAAGCCACTTTTCAGCTTTGTGCAGGCAAACATTGCAGAAAACAAATGCCCATGTCATAGTTTTATAGCCTTGGAATCCCAGGGTAGATTGCCCATCAGCAACCAGAAAAGAGACCTATGCATTTCTGTCTTTCACAAAATATTAGTGGTCCTTGCTATGACTGTTTAAGAAGTGGCAAAGAAATAGAGGAAAAATAAAACATTTCACTGTCATCACATAATCATGAGTGGGATTTTGAGATTTCCATGGCATTTTCCCTGTTTATCTTTCTGCACAAGGCACAGCATGATGTTGTGGGGAGGGTGAATGGGTACTACTGTAGCAGGGGTTTCCTATCCTATCCCCCTTCATTTTTCTTTCCAGTACTTTCCACTTCTTGATATGATAGTCATAAAAAACCCACCATCTCTTTTCACAAGAACATGACCTCATGTTGGCAATTACTGTTGCTCATCAGACAGAAGACTGCCTGAAGTATAGGAGGCACACACTCTAAGCATAGCTTGTAGGAATAAAGGGAAAAGGACAGTTTGCTCTCAATCCCAGAACATTGAATGTCATGACGTTGAACTTGGGGAAGTGGGTAGAGCTCAGCATGAAAGGAAGCAGCTGGTTATGTGAGGTGGAAGGTGTTGTTAGTTGTTATTAGGTGTTAGTGTTATTAGTTGCTTCCATTTCAGGAGAATATTGGTGCTCACTTCCACACTATTTGGCACATAGTTCAGCACCTACAATATGCTGACATGCACACCAGGAATGATGGCTGGGGATGTGGACAATAACAGTTGTTGAGCTCACGTGTTTAAAGTGAAGAAATTAAAGTTTTTCTTACTGAAAATTTAGAGCTTTAACCATTACAGCATGAAAGAAGATATTGTGAATAGGCAGTTTCCTTCTCTGTGATAAAGGCCTTAGAAAACCCATTGGAGAGTTAGCTATGGGTCGGTTCCAACTTTTATGGTGCACAACTACAATAGTAGTATTTATGAAGTTTGGTTTTTACCTATGAATTCTTCTAATTCATACCTTGCACTTCATGGAGGGTGCGTACGTTTTACGAAATCAGTGGTTTCTTGCCACACTGCTCAAAACAAGGTTTCTGCCCATTACCCTAAGTTTTTGTGAGAAAGATAGATTTTTAAAAAATTTTTTATTGAGATTTTAACAAAAGTTTACAGAGAACTTGGATTTCCATTCATTCACTTTCACACATTTTCCTACCTACCCAGCCCCCAGCAGTTTGCTTTTCTCTTTAAAAAAAATTCTTTTGTTGATGCAACAAAGATATTTTTTAAGTTTGTTTCTTTTAAAAAAGAATTTTAAACAATGTAGATTCATACCTAGTTGTAAAATATAATCCAGAGATATCTTTTGTAAACTTTACATAATTTCCCTCACTGATAACATCCAGTGAAACTAATATATGTCACAAACAGGATTTTAACCTGGAAAAAGTCAAGAACATCATTGCATCACCAAAGTTCCCTCTTGTCTCCCTTCTCTACACACACTCACCTTTTTCATGCTCTTCCTCCCTCCCTTGCTTTTGGCCAGAGGGAATCTGTTTTCCATCTTTATAATGTTGTCATTTCAAGAACGTTACATAAATGATTCATACATTATGTAACCTATGGGTTTGGCTTTTTTTTTAAGGTCTCTAATCTGTAGAGTTTGATCAGAGTTGTAACATATGTCAATAGTTTGTTCTCTTTTATTATTTAGTAGCACTTCATGATAGTAGCACTTAGTGAAGGACTCTGGGTTGTTTTCTACTTTAGGAACATTTATGTATAAAATTTCTATAAACATTTCTATAAAGCGTTTTGTAAAGGTGTGAGCATAAAGAAGTCTTTATTTCTCTGGGATAAATTCCCAGGAATACAGTTGTTGGATTGTGTGGTACATTTAGTTTTTAACACGTTGCTGCAAATGACGGTAATACATAGAAAAAAATGTGTTTTAAGCCGAAAGTGTGCGGCATTGTGTTAAAGAAAATATTAAATCTTTTTTCTTTTTTTAAATTTTTGTTTTTCTACTAGTTTTATTTACAACATTCAAATACAAATTTGAACAAATTCTTTCCATTTCCCTCCCCCCCCCCCATCAAATTGTACAACCCAGTGACATCCGCATCCCTCTGCTTCCAGCCTCTCCCAACCCCTCCTGGATCCTTATACTCATTCTACAATAGTGGTTTTATACAATATTTATCCTTATGGGACAGACTACTAAATCTTTTACTACAGTGGCTGTTATCCTCCTCAGCATTATTTCTTTTCTTTTGTCTCTTTAATGGAATGTTTTTTCATGTCATTGCTCATGTTCTACTTGGACTGTTTGCCTTCTTATTGTTGCATTTTAAGAACTCTATATATTCTGGCTTATCCTTTATTGGATATGTGGTTTGCAGATATTTTCTGAAAGTCCTGTAGCATATTCTTTCATATCCTCTTAACAGGATATCCAGTGGCACAGAAGTTTTAATTAGACTAAGTCCACTTTACCAGTTTTTCTCATAAGGATCATGCTTCTAGCATAAAGTCAAGAATATTTGCCTAGTTAGACTCATGAAGATGTTGTACTACGGGTTTGGGTTTGTTTTTTTTTCCCCAGAAGTTTTATATACACCCCTGATCTGTTTTAGGTTAAGGTATAAGGTGTGAACTTGAGTAAGTGTCCTTTTTTTCCCCTCTGTGGATGGCACACCATTGAAAGGCTTTCTCCCATTAAATTCTTTTGTACCTTTATAAAAAATCATTTGATCATATCCATATGAAGTCTTGTGTTCTTTTACATGAGCCTATCTTTCCTTCTGCTGATTATTATGGGCTTGATTATTGTTATTTGATGTCGAGTGAACCCACTCATAACTGATCCTCTAGTGGATTTTCAGAGTCAGTAAATTACATGGGAAGAGATTGCCCATCCCTCTCCCACAGAGTAGCTGAGGGAGGCAAACCATGTGCATTTAGGAATGTATTTTACCACTAGGCCACCAGAGCCCGCTATGGGCTTAAGTATTATATGTATATTCCAAGTCTTCAAATTGTGTAGACTTAATTTCTCCCACATCCCCCCTCAAAAAAAAAATTATTTTAGCTCCTTTGGCTTTGTGTATGAACTTTGTGGTAGCCTTGTCTCTGTCTGGGAAAAAAACCCACACTGGTCGAGCAGGACTCATAGTGACTTTATGAACAAAAACCCTGATGCCTTTCCATAACTATAGTCATTTTTCCAAGTTCATAGAGTGTCCAGTGGTGTGTGGTTTAGGAAGTGGATACCACTCCTGCTTCCAAACGTGTCTTAAGCTGGGAGCTCCACTAAACTCTGTCCACCTTGGGCAACTATTATGGCATTTGACACCTCAGTGGCACAAGGTTTGGCATCACAGCAAACCTAGATTATCTCAGTACAGCAAATTGACAGAAGAGTGATGGACAATTTAGAAGAATGTTTCTCCAAAATAAAATAACACTAGTCTCACTTAGCAGTGATTAAATGCCATCAAGTCGAATATGGCTCCTATAGCGACCATATGAATAAAAGCCCTGAACCCTGTTCTATAACTAACACCATTTCTC